ATTCCCAGCTGAGGTAAAACAAAAGCGGCCCTCTGCCTTCTTATTTCACTCTCATTGAAGTGTCCTTTTCAACGTGTGTTTTATTTATTTTTTGGGGGGGGCATTTTTTGGGTCTTACATTTTTATGCTTTTTGTTGGTGATTTCACTGTTTTAAATAGCCCCCAAGTGTAGTGCTGAAGTGCTCCCTAGTGTGCATAAGCACAAGAAGGCCGTGATGTGCCTTATGGGGAAAATACATGTGTTAGATAAGCTTTGCTCAGGCATGAGTTACAGTGCTGTTGGCCATGAGTTCAATGTTAATGAATCAACATTATGGTGCATCAAAAAAAAAAAAAAAAGAAGAAGAAATTCTCCAATCTGTACATGAGATTACTCGGCAAAGTGCTAAAGTAACATCTGTGGTATAGTAACATTTAATGAAGCTATGGAAAAATGGCTAAATTTGTGGATCCATGAGATGATGACTGATTTCAAAAAGAAATGGACAGCACCATTAGAAGACTGAAAGCCAAAGAAATTTATGGTTATCAGGAAAATGTTAAATCCTTCTTGCCTAGTGTTTTATTATAAAGAAATACTGCATTTGGTTAATTATTTGTAAGAAATAAAAATTGAATAAGGTGTCTTTAAACAGAAACACACGGAGAACAAGTGTATGTATTGATAGTTGATAAAAAAGTTGTGAGCAGAAGTTCATAGGCACCTAATCCTGTACTTCCTCTAGGGAAAATGGCTCAGTATTTGCTAATTCAGTGTTTGTGATGACTTTATAGAACATAACCAACTACGAATAATGAGAATCAACTGTATATTATTGAGGTAGAATTGACAGATCTTGGTGGTGACTGAATGTGCAAAGTGAGGAGGAAAGAAGATTCAAAAATGAGTCACAGGTTTTAGGTGTCATCTAATGAGACGGGATGACTGGAAGAGGGCATTTGTGGAGAAACATCCAGTGTTTTGGATATATTAATATTAAATGTTTGTGAGATATTCAAGAAGAACTTTCAAGGAGGCAATTAGATATTTGAGTCAGAAATTCAGAATGAAGAAAACAGACATTAGGGGATTATTCACAAATAGATGATTCTGAAAGTCGTGGAGATGGATGTGATTTGCCAGGGAGAGAATGTGAAATGCGAAGAGAAAGGAAGGTCTTAATCAATTGGTGCTGGTTTCTTTATATAGTCCTTTAGGAAAATAAATGTATATCACAGGGCCCAGACGTTTCAGGATATCCATGAAACCCTAAATTTGGCAGTTGGTTCCCCCTATTTGTGAGCTTCTTACAGAGAGACAAATGTCTTATCTTTCTTTTGTACCCCTTTTTCTTCCCACAGTACCTATACCAATATTAAGTAGGCTTTCAGCACATACTCAATTGAATGTTTAATAATTGGGGCTAATGAAGTTGTAATATTGATCTCACTGCTTAGATTCTTGGGGGACTCATGCCTGGGCCAATCATCTCTCAGAGATCATTGATTTGGGAGCAAGTGAAGTGAGAGGAACCAGATACTGGGTGTGACTGAAGCACCAGCACACTACTGGCCAGCCAACGCTGAGAGCACATGCTCTTTGTGGTCATCTCCCATCACTTTCTGATGGGAAACACTGACCCAAGGCTGTGATACTTACTTGAAGCTGTCATTCCTGAAAGGGTAGGTGTAGTTTCCACTGCCAGTGTCACAGAAGGGGCCACTGAGCAAACCCAATGAAGAAATGACCACACAGTACATAGCTCCTATGGTGCCCTGTGTGGGCAGAAGTACAGGGAACAGCATCTGCAATGGAACAGAACCAGTAATTTAGTGCAGCAATGGTGGGGGAAGCAAGCAGTGGAAACCGGTTGTTTAAAAGTTCTTCTCCCAGCCTTCTCTGATAAATTGAAGAGGGTCTGGATCTTGTGTTGTAGATGTCAGAACAAGTAGGTGTCCTTGTTCACAAAAATGGGGTAGTAGATCTGAGGAACCCTCTGTCCATTCATCTACTCCTGTGGCAATTCTAAAGAATAAAATAATCCACTCCAAAATTTTGAGATGGAAATATGACTAACTTAAGGTTGAACTTCCAGTGTCTACACAATGCCTGGCACAGAGAAGTTAGTGTGCTTCCAGTTCCTTTACCTACACTCAAGGTAAAAAGCAAAACAAACACAGAAAACCAGTTGCTGTTGAGCTGACTCTAATTCATGGAGACCTCATGTGTTTAGAGGAGAACTGTGATCCATAGGGTTTTCAATGAATGATTTTTTGGAAATAGATCTCCAGGCCTTTCTTCCAAGGTGCCTCTGGATGGACAGGAACCTCCAACCTTTTGGTTAACAGCTTTGACTTAACTAACTTAACTATCTTCACCACCCAGGAACTTGTACTCATGGCAGACATCAGTTATATATGTCAGCACCCTTTCCCATCAAGCCTATACTAACCCTCACAGTCCTTCTCAAAACAGAGCCACCCATCATTTGGTGTTGGCACTCTAAATGGGACCTACTTGCCACTCTGGTAATGAGTGCTCAGTAAATGTTTGCTGTGGGATTGTGTGAGTAAATGAATAATCTGTAGTCTAATGCTTGAGCCAGTGACCAGCACAGGGCCTTGCATGGTGTACAAACTCTATAAATATTTGTTGACTGGATGAGTGAATATATGTGATAGTGAGGCTAGTGCCAAGGGAAGGCCTGTGGCTCTCCTGATGTGTTAGTCTGTTACTGAATTGGGGCAAAACTAAGGGTCTTGTTTACTTCAAAGCATACATGAAGTTTTATTCTGGATAAGTCCACATTGTGTCTGTCTTATGACAAGTGGTAATAGAGGGGCGGCTGAAACAGAATGGAGCTTCTTAAAGTCATGCAGCTTCTTAGAGTTGTTCCTCAGGCAACGCAGGGACTCAGATCTCTGTGGAGTATTTGATTGGGGACTGTAAAGCTTGGATCAGGAGACCTTTGGGACAAGATGATTTCTGGCTGCTTGAATTTTTCCAATTTATTTTTACTATTAAAATAATTTTATTAATTTCTAGCTGACTGTTTCTCTTATTGAACAGACTATATGATACAAAAGAC